AATTTACAAATCTTTACAAATTTGTAAAATTTACAAATCTTTACAAATTTGTAAAATTTACAAATCTTTACAAATTTGTAAAATTTACAAATCTTTACAAATTTGTAAAATTTACAAATCTTTACAAATTTGTAAAATTTACAAATCTTTACAAATTTGTAAAATTTACAAATCTTTACAAATTTGTAAAATTTACAAATCTTTACAAATTTGTAAAATTTACAAATCTTTACAAATTTGTAAAATTTACAAATCTTTACAAATTTGTAAAATTTACAAATCTTTACAAATTTGTAAAATTTACAAATCTTTACAAATTTGTAAAATTTACAAATCTTTACAAATTTGTAAAATTTACAAATCTTTACAAATTTGTAAAATTTACAAATCTTTACAAATTTGTAAAATTTACAAATCTTTACAAATTTGTAAAATTTACAAATCTTTACAAATTTGTAAAATTTACAAATCTTTACAAATTTGTAAAATTTACAAATCTTTACAAATTTGTACAATTTACAAATCTTTACAGATTTATAAAATTTACAAATCTTTACAGATTTCTTACATGTAAGGTTTTGTGCCCTCATTTTTATCAGTTTCTACTGTGGGCCATCTTGAAAGTCTTTTGAAGCCAGATATATTTGAATATAGGCCTGAAACAAATAAAGGTGGCTACTATGTTTATTTATTCACTGGTTAACCATTTCTGGAAGCATATCTCAACTTACAAGACCTTCTTTTACACTAAAGACAAGATGATTTACAAATTTACAAATCTTTACAAATTTGCACAATTTACAAATCTGTGCAAATTTGCACAATTTACAAATCTTTGCAAATTTGCACAATTTACAAATCTTTGCAAATTTGCATAATTTACAAATCTTTGCAAATTTGCACAATTTACAAATCTTTACACATTCTTACATGTAATTTACTACATTGAAATATGGGTTTTGTGCCCTCATTTTTATCAGTTTCTACTGTGGGCCATCTTGAAAGTCTTTTGAAGCCAGATATATTTGAATATAGGCCTGAAAATCTTTACAAATTTGTAAAATTTACAAATCTTTACAAATTTGTAAAATTTACAAATCTTTACATTATTTACAAATTTACAAATCTTTACAAATTTGTAAAATTTACAAATCTTTACAAATTTGTACAATTTACAAATCTTTACAAATTTGTACAATTTACAAATCTTTACAAATTTGTAAAATTTACAAATCTTTACAATTTTGTAAAATTTACAAAGGTTTACAAATTTCTTACATGTAATTCACTACATTAAAATTTGGGTTTTGTGCCCCCATTTTTATCAGTTTCTATCCAGCAGTGACCAATCATTCCTTTCTGCCTCTGAATTCAAAGAGAATTCTGCCTCCCTGCTCTTTCCCTCTGTTTTCAACTGTCACGGTCAGTCGTTGCATTTCTTGCTGATCTCTTCCCAACCGTAATTGGTGAACCATTCTAAGGCATAACAGACCAGAAATTCCAAACTCTGCAACTGTTCCATAGCCAAGCTCACTGGAGATCATGGACCTCTGTTTAAAGTCACAGCAGGAAAAAAAAATTTTCAGCCTTACCATCTTCACACTGCTCTCCGCTTACACCAGGTGGACAACGGCAGGCTCCTGTCACCGGGTCGCATGTCCCTCCATTTTGGCAAAGACACGCAGAACTGCAGTTCTTACCAAACGTCCCTTCTGGACAAGCTGTAAGAGGGGAAGCAAGAGAGGGGAGGAAGCAAAGCACGGGTGTGTGAACAAGAATGACACAAGCCTCTGGAGACCCTTGTTTCCCCTTTCCATCCAGACAACCGGCAGTGGAGACAGAAACCCAGCGGTTCCCGTCCCTGCCTTCCAGGGTTCAATTAATCTCCCAAAGCAAACGGCCTTTCCAATTTGCTGGCGAAAGGTCTGCCAATTCTGCCTTGAGTGTGGAGGCTCTGATCTGTTGCCAAGAGATGCACAAGCAAAAGGCTCGACTTTAAGATTAGAGTCTCTAGAGGATGGATAGCGAATACGATGGTGGCATTCAGGCAATTTTATTGTAGGCTTTGCCTGACCAGCTTGGGGCCAACGTCAACAGAGCAAAAGGCAGGCCATGGGGTCTAACTGGGAAATGCAGATGCTCTTCTAAACCAGCTGGATTGGTCTTTCCCATTACTCTGCTGACTGACTGATTATGTGACAGACAGACAGACTGACTGATTATGTGACATGCCTTATGTGATTTGACTTCTGTGCTACCCCTTTAATGTGATGCACTACTCTGGACAGTTTACAACAGTAGTAAATGACACATACTATGCATACTAAAAGGTTAAAATGTTAAGCCAAAAAAAACCCCCACAAAAAACCGAACTTGAAACCACCAACTAATTCTCAAAAAAACAATAGGACTAGAGGTGCGACTCCTGTAGGGTTGGTATGAAAGGCCTCTCTAAAAGGCAATGTTTTAAGTTGGCTTCTGAATACTAACAGGAAGAAGACAAGGTGTCGCTCTGCCGTAGAGCAGATTTCACCATGTTGGAGCCACCACAAAGAAGGCCCAACCTCTAGTAGGTGACCTGCAGGACTCTGGCTATCCAGAGCAGCACAGCCTGGGGGGATCTGGTGGGTTGGGTAGATCTACCCACCGATTTAATGGCGTTGTGGAAAGAGCCACTCTGACCAGTCAAAAAAACATGGGGACCACCGTTTGGTGGGTCATCCATCGCTCCAACCCAACTTACTTTGGTTGCAAAGGATCCCGCTCCAGCCATCCGGGCAAGCGCAGCCCGTCTGGTCCTCATTACAGGCCCCTCCGTTTTGGCAGTCGTCACAAGTCAAGCTGCAGTCATGGCCGAAGGCATCATCCAGGCAGACTGCAACAAGGAAAGAGGTCAGAAGGAGTGGTTCAGAGAACTGCCATTAAGAGAAAAGTTGGCCAACATCTTGGGGGAGACTCCCAAAAATGTCAGGGAGTGGCTATGCCAGTCTTTCGACTTAGCAAGACTCTTCTGCAGGATGGCAATAAAGCAAGCAAATCAATCCAGTCAGGAAGAAGAAATAGGAAGGTTAATATTTGTGGAGGGGAGACAAACGTATCGAAGATCTATGTTTTGCTACACTGCACTTTATTGCTTCCAGCAGCAAACATGGGAGGCGAAAGCCATGAAAAATGAAGTCAAACCGAGGAAATGGAGAAACAAACAAGAGCAAGAGGAAAATATCAGAAAATACGGGGAACTCAAGTATTTGCATAAGAACCCATCTAAAAAACCAAACAAACAAAAATCCTGGGGTGGGACAATCAAACCAGACTCATTTGGCTTGAGCACTACCCACAGGAAAGGAATATAAGCCGAGCATACTCAAAAATACTTTTGAGGGCAAATAGGTAGAACGTTTAACAGGACCACTTGTGTAAGGAGAAATGATGTGCTTCGACATTTCCTGGCAAAATTTCATTGGAGCTTACTGAATTTTTCAGACAAAGTGTGCTCCCCTCTTGCTTCTGCCTCCTCTTCCTCATCATACTCTTCCTCAAATAACTGGGTGAATTCCTCCCGGAGGACAGCCACATGAGGGAGCGGACGGATGACAGGGCGTCTTCCATCGAGGGCTTCCACGGGGTCCTCAAGTACTGTGGAAAGACCGCAGATTCCCAATGACATTCAAGAAATGAGTAGGAAGAGGCCCAGCACCATTAATGACCCAGTGAATGCATTGCCCTTTTAAGAAGGACTCAAGCAGGAGTTGCCCTATTTACGTCCTTCACTCACTCCCTTCCTAGTGACTGCGTTGAGAAAATGACCAGAACTTTTGCTGCTGACTGGGAAAAATTCGGGAAAAGAGAAATAAGCATAAAAACAGTGCTGCTTTGAAGCAGACAGGCAGGGGAATAGACATCCCTAACATTTACCACTTGAATCTTTCTTAACTTTCATGAGGCAAGACAGGCTGTTTATACCTTTCCCTCTGTAGTCCCCCTTAGAACAAAGAAGGGAAATGTCAACATAATGATGCTGGTCTCTGACCATAATAAAGTAATTACATTACATTGAACATGAAAAAATATTCTGTTCTGGCTGTTTTGTGAGTTTTAGCATCTCTGCTTGCTTGATTTTTGCTTCCACATTGATCTGCTAGAGCAGACACATTCTTTTCTAACCCACTTGGATGATGGAACGAGGCCTGAATCTAAATAACTGACAGGCATAAAATTTCTTAAGAGCCAGGAATCTTGGGGAAGGCAGAGAAACCAGCACTTACAAACACAGCTCTTTCGGTCTTCGTCTAGTTTGTAGCCAATCTGGCAACTGCAGTGAAAGGAGCCCACCACGTTCTGGCAGAACTGCTCGCACCCTCCGTTGTCTGAAGAGCACTCGTCCACATCTTTTAAAGTAAAAAAAGGGTGAAAACAGAGAGTATTTCAATCTACAAAGCTTGAAGAGTTTCTTCCCAAATCCAACGGGCTTCATCTTGCAACACACAGCTGGATAGCCCAGTGGTTTAGGTATCTCGGGCGCAGAGCCCAAGGTTGGGAGTAGAGATGGGCACGAACCGAACCACGAACTGGGCTGGTGATGGGCACAAACCGAACCACGAACTGGGCTGCTGATGGGCACGAACTGAACCACGAACTCGACTGGTTAATGGTTTGGTTCATGGGTTTCGGTTCAGGGATTCTTGGGGGCGCTGGTCACGATACTTTGTGGTTCACGGGTAGCCACGAACCACAAGGAACCACCAGTTTTCTGGTTCGTGCCCATCTCAAGTTGGGAGTTCGATTCCCCACTGCACCTCCCAGGAAAAGAGCCAGCCTGGGTGGCCTTGGGCAAGCTGTGCAGTCCCAGGGATCCCTCCCAGAAGAAGGGAAGGGGATGCCCCTTCTGAGAATTTTCTGCCTAGCAAACCTCGAAAAGGGTTGCCCATAAACTGGATTGCCAAAGTCCAACTGTTGAGCCCAGCTAAAGAAGACCACGTAGGTCAACTGCTGAATGGTCTCATATGAGCGGGACTTCTGTAAGTCCCACTGAATCAGTGGGTTCCCTCTAGTTTAATTAAATTCCTAGAAGTTGGACTTAATATGAGACCCAATTCAGATGCAAAAGAAGGGCATGCAATATTCTAATTGAACCACTAAAATATTACAAGCAGGGGAATTTTTGAATCCTACAGGTCCCTTCTTCTGCAATGGCTAGCTTGAAGGAGGGTCCTATTAGACCCCCAAGCTCTCCTGGTTTTAACAGGGAATAAAACACCATCCGTGTTTCTGAATTCTCTGCGAAGACCATACAGTGTCCTTTCTTTCCTGAATGAGTTTGAATCCCATTGATCCAACTTCTTCTGGGTTGGGAACACAGACCAGAATTTCTACTTGCCCTCACAGCTGCAGCCATCTGTGCTGAGCCGGTAGCCGGCGTAGCAAATGCACTCGTAGCCTCCCGGGTAGTTATAACATTCCTGGACCACTTTTCCATGTTCATAAGAAGAATCGGGACGTCTTGTCTCCCACCCCTGTAGGGAGGCACTGACATTTATTTCCTGATCCGAACACTTCTCCATACCTTCAGAGAGAGAGAGAGTGGTTCCCAGCTTTGGGTCCTCCAGATGTTCTTGGACTGCCTCTCCCAGAAGCCTTCCCCACTCGCTGGCCTGGCAGGATTTCTGGGAGTTGAAGTCCAGGAACATCTGGGCACTCAAGGTTGGGCACCCCTGTCTTTAAGAGTTTTGGGGAGAAGAACGTGGCAGCTTCAGCTTCTTGCATTTATTCTGTTGCTGAAAAAATGTCCCTCTCTTTCAGACGCCTCATTTTGCTTACCGCACATTGGTTGAGTCACCCAACCAGCTATGGTTTATCTAAATGCCTGCAAGCCAACCGCACCAAGTTTGGAGTTAGTGGGTCAATAGTTGCAGAAAAGAGAGAGTGAGAGCCTGGGATTGTATATCTGGTTATAACCTTTTTTGTATGTCCGTAGCTTGATTTTTCCTTTCCCTCTGATTCAGCCTGTCCAGCGGGCTTCCATGGTGTCAATTGTCAGGAGCCGTGTGCCTGCCAGAATGGAGCCAAGTGTGACCCGAGGACAGGGGAATGCCTGTGCCCCCCTGGTTTCCACGGAAACCAGTGTCAGAAAGGTATGACCCCCGTTCTGTAACCATACTCTGCTAGGGAACAGAAGCTAATGGACGCTGGCAAAGCCCTACATCTCGGTGGCACAGCGCACGGCCCACTCTAGTACACGTTCTACATGCATTGGAAAAAGGAGGAGAGGACGGCCCTTCCCATAGCTCTGCCTTTTTTTCAACATCCGTGGGGTGGGCTGGAAGTGGTCCCTCATGGATATGGGGGCTATACATATATATATATATATATATCTGTATCTTTCCAACCATTTTACATCAGAGGTTGGGCAAGGCATTATACCTTTCAGAATACCCTAGCTAGTATGGCTTCTGGTTGATTTAATGAGCTCCTGCTATTCCAAATAAAGCTTCGCAGGACAAATGAAACCCAGAGATTTGCTGTCGGAGCCCACTAGATTTCATTTTATACAAGCCCATCCGTATAGAGCAGACAGCTTATAACCAGATGGGGCTTGGAGTTTCAGAGATTGTTTTCAGATGGCGCCCGTGCTTTTGCCAATCATTCCTATAGCGTCATGGATCACGTGGAAGGTGGCGCAAGAGATCAAAGGGTGAGATCCGGGAGGGTGTGTAATTAGTGGTGGGCAGCTTTGTGGTTTTTGGACTACAGTGCCCAGAATTCCCCACATAGTGTGGCCAGTGGCTTCAGAAGGCAACAGGCTCAGATTCTATTCCATAGTGATTCTAGCAAAGCAAAAATGCAGAACTCCAGAAACAGCACCATTAGAAATTGACCTCGATGGGTTGGGTTCAGGCTTTCGCCTAAATTCAATGGGTAGACTCAACTAAAGTCTTGAGAAAAGACTAAAGGGAGATGAGATAGAATTTTTCAAATATTTGAAAGGGAGTCCTATAGAGGAGGAGCAGGATCTGTTCTCGATCCTCCCAGAGTGCAGGATACGCAACCATGGGCTCAAGTGACGGGAAGCCAAATTTCGGCTGAATATCAGGAAAAACTTTCTAACTGCAGTATGATGATGGAATTAATGGCCTCGGGAGGTGATGAGTGCTCCAGCGCTGGAGGCCTTCAAGAGAATATTGGACCACCCTCTGTCAGATCTGCTTTGACGTGGATTCCTGCCTTGAGCAGGGGTTGGTTTGGAGTTGGACATTTTATGGCCTTATGGACCCCTCCCAACTCCATTATTCTATGATTTTATCTAGAGTAGACATACCAAATCAGTTGCTAAATGTGGAGAAACATTCATGGAAACCCCATGAAGTCAAACAGGTCTTCTCTCGTTGTGTCTCACAAGAGGATCCAGACCTCAGAGACTTGGTATCCCATTGGTTTCAGTGGGTTTGCTCCAAGTATAACTAAACCAGGCTGAGCCAAAGGTGGACCTTCCCCTCCCTTCACTGCAAATGTTTTCCGTTCACTTCTTCAATTACCAACACAGGTTTTCTTGTCTCTGTCCAGCTGGTATCCCACATTGCAGCTGCACACGGGGCCGGAGCTGGTGTGATGGCAAAGATGGGAACAGCCTCCGTTGTTGGTCTCACAACTGTTGACAATTTCCATGTCAATCCCTGAAATGGCAAGAGGGAAAAAACGTGTCCGGGGTCCAGCATCAACCCAAGAGTACACTGCACATTTCAAAAGCATGGGATTGCCCAGATCCGACCATTTCCATCTATGGAAAGAGTTTGAAGTTCTACTTAGAATCCTTGCCAGATCTTTATGACTGTCGTCAACACGAGCAGAGAAGCAGGTCAAGGGAAGTACTTACGATAACACTGTTTGCTATCCACTCCCAGCTCGTACCCCGGGTTGCAAGTGCACTTGAAAGAGCCCCGGGTGTTGAGGCAGCCATGCGCGCACATGGCCTTCCCAGTGATGCATTCGTTGACATCTAGATCAAGGGAAAGGAAGGGGAGGTGAATGAAGACTCATGCTATTATATGCATACATGTGATAACATTTCTACCCCCTCGATTGGCCATACAGTTCATCCCCCTTTTTTTTGTTCCATGCAACGAAGTGACCCTAGAAGTGACGCACAACCAATATACTTCTGACTAGTTGTCAGAAGGGCAGATTTTCAGTAGCCCTAATTCAGTTGTTAAGACTATGAATTTGGATACTTGTATAATGTGAAGAGAGCTGGCTTGTGGCACAGGGATTTTGAGGGGCAAGGAGGGTTTACTCTGAACTTTATGGATGCCACCTGCCCAACCCACCCGATTTTCCCTGGCTAAGCTCCTCTGGGTAGCTGCCCAGAGAGAGACCTGGAAGTCCTTCACAAAAAGCCGGGCCTTCTTCGTGGTGGCTCCACATGTTGTGGAACTTGCATGTATTGGGTCTTCCTCTTTCCCCACTGCCTCCCACCTTTCCCAACATGATGGTCTTTTCCAGAAGCTTCCGCCTCCTCGTGATGGCGCCAAGGCAGGAAAACCTCAGCTTCAACGTGTTTGCCTCCAGAGAGAATTCAGACTTGATTTGACCTATAGTTCTGTCATCCAGGGCAAATGCACTCAGCTATGCCTCCTTCCCTCACTCACGACCCTTCGCCATCTTTGTTTATTATTTACTTGTTCGTTTTATGCCACCTTTCTCCCTAATAAGGGAACTCAGTTTCTGAAGCTCACCCTGTGCTATTCTCTGTGCCTAGCCACTCCATGCCCCACCATCTTGTATCCATCACATACGTCCGCCTCAGTCATAAGACCCTCCCTTATTGGCATCGTACGGACGGAGGTGTCAACTGAGGTGCCACAGAACTTTGCTTTAGAAACACTGGGATGTTCTCCCTCCCCTGCAGGAAGTTGTTGAGATGTTTTCACCAGTGTTCCCTTCAAAAGCAGCCAAAGTCTCCTTTATCATCCTACTAGTCCAGACAGAACGTCTAATTATAGGCCGCAGAGATTAGCAGAACATTGACTGGGGGGTGGGGGGAATGGACACCAAGCTGTTGAGATACGTTCCATACCTTCACAAGCCTTCTTATCAGCGGCCAGTCTGTATCCGGGGTGGCACTCGCACTGCGGCATGCCACGGCGGTTCTGGCACTTGTGCATGCAGCCTCCATTTCTCTCCGTGCATGGGTTTCTCACTGGGAAGACGTGGAGAATGGTCAGAGGCTGGCTTTTTAAAAATAATCTTTATAATTTTAGAACTGCAGACCTGGAAGGAACTCTACAGATTATTGAGTCCAGTCCCTGTCAAAAAGGCCCGGGGGGAATCGAACTCTCAACCTCTGGATCTGCAGCCAAAGATCTAGATGAAGTTATTTATTCCTGCAGCTGCCATATTAATAAGTAGTTATTATATTTCTTGTGACTTTTCTGTTACTCCTTTCCCGTGCATTGTTAAAAACAGTAACAGCAGCAGCAACCATAACAAAAAAGTCAAAAATTCATTTGTCGCCCTCCTAGACCAAATGGAAAAATGAATTACCGCATTTTTCGCACCATAAGACGCATTTTTTACCACAAAACAGGGCGGTGGAAAGTCTGTGCATCTTATGGAGCGAAGAAAACAGATTATTTTTTCCTGTTTTCTTCTCCTAAAAATTTGGTGCGTCTTATGGAAAGGTGCGTCTTATGGATCGAAAAATACGGTATATCTGAAAAGTGTCTGGTAGTTAGAGCAAACCCTGTTGGCTAGATCCCCAGATGTTCTTGGACTACAACTCCCAGAAATCTTGGTCAGCACAGCTGGTGGTCAAGGCTTCTGGCTGTTGTACACCAAGAAGATCTGGGGACTCAAGGTTGGGAGCCACTGGACCGGATGGTCCAAAAGATGTGGTGTGCAATATTGAATGGTAGCCCAGATCCTTTGCGTGTTGAAGGCCCATCCAGTTAAAAGATCAAGTATCAAGTGATGGCCAAGGATGTTTTCTGTGTGAGACACTGGACAGCGGCTGCCGGCTAGAGATGGCAGTACTGCTCTAGATGGACCAAGGGGTGTGCTATGTGCTATTTCATTTTTTTTCAGACTACCAACTTTTATTTGAAATAAAGCTCCCAGAATTCTAGGAGGACTCTGGAACCCACCTATTTATTTATTTCTTTATTTATTTTATTTATATCCCGCCTATCTAGTCACTTAAGACCACTCTAGGCGGCTATAGAGACCTACATTTCAATCACCCAGTAAATGGCCTACCTCTGAGGTTATACGGCTTTATCTGACCTTGTTTTCTTTTGCTAATGTTTTTTTAAAAGCTGCTGTTTCGTGGCCTTCCTGGGAGAGACACTACACGTTAGGCTGTATAGAGGACACCTCCCAGAGAACTACAGCTTCCGGGTAGCACTGCAGCAGCTTCCTTTTAAAAAAAACAACACACAACTAACTACAGGAACCACATGCAGGCAGTCCCTGGTTAAAAGGATGAAGTAGAAGATGATGCTGAAGACTCTTCTCTTCCCAAAAATACTTGGGAGACCTGTTTCCAGTCCAGTTCACCAAGTACACAAACAAGGAATTATACAGAACAAATCTTATCCCTCTGACCCTTCATGGGCTGGAGAAACTCACAGACACAATGCTTCCCATCGTCCTTCAGCTGGTAATTGGGCCGGCATTGGCACTGATGTTGTGACAGGGTGAGCTGCACACAATCATGCTCACACCCGCCGTTGTTGATGGCGCAGGTGTTGATGGCTGGAAAGCGAAGGCACAAACATCAGCATCAAGGGAAGGAAAAATGCAGAAGGATTCAAGCTGCCGCTTTCCAGGTGCATTGTCCTGAAGGCACCTCTCGAATCAGGAAGTGCTTTCATAACAATAAACTGGGTTAAAGACACTGCAACAGTACAAAGCAAGATCAGATGGGAAGGAGCTGTTATTTGAATAGTCAACTAAAATAGCTTGCTATTGAGGGATGGGATAAGTAGGTAGATAGCGTAGGTGTTTTCCCTCTTTTGCCTCTTCTAGATCTACAAGCAGACTGGTACTCTTAGGCCTCCTTTCTTTCTTTTTCCTTTGTAAGATTACTTCTGCTCTATCGTTTTCAAAAATAAAAACTAAGATAAAAATTAAACTAGGGAGTAGATGAAAAAATGACTGCTAGTAGACTAGTAACACAATGGGTTTTTATATTTGTGCTTAAGGTTTTCTAGTGCTGGTTATCCTCGGTGGAATTTCTGAATGGGTAAAAGGTCAGTTTCCTTACAAAATATCACTTTCCAGAATGGTTCACTATTTCCAGGAGCCACAAGTTCTGCATTAGACGGTTGTGCTCGGCCAACATAAATACCAAATAATCCTAACAGCGGCCACGCTTCAGACTTGCACGGCCTTGGTTCGTTCCATTCTCAGGTCTGCCTTGTTTTCCGCTTCCTCGTGGACTTTCTTCATCAGTGCCATGGGACCGTTTTGAACCCAAAGGCTCCTTCGTAAAGCCAAATGCATTGCTCTCAAGTCTCGAGAGGTCTGATCTTTAAAAGTCTTTGCTCTTGCAACCACATCAGGTTTAGGCATCTGGCTACGGAGCCAGAGGTTGGGATTCTAGGATTTTTTGCTTAGACCCAGAGGTTGTTGGGAGAACATCTGGACCAGCCAGAGAGAAAGTTGAGATTCTAAGATTTTTGCTTAGACCCAGAGGTTGCTGGGAGAACATCTGGACCAGCCAGAGAGAAAGCCACAAGCGTGTACTAATTTCACCGTTAATTATTCTCCAATGGCAGCACGTGAACCCTATCATAACGACAACCATCTAAACTTGATTTTATATTCAGATGCGTCAAGCCAGTGACAAAGTAAACACCACACCGGCAGATCCCAATGGGACTCTGTCGGGTCAAAATGTTGCCCTATATTGCACCATAGCTAGAACAAGATCTGGGAAACTAAGGTCTCCTGTGAAAAAAACCACAATAAAACCCAAACCCAGAATGTCTTGTGTTTCTGAAGCACTCGATAGCCATTAAAAGACTGGATGTAGTGCAACTGTAGCAAGAGGATGTAATGCTTCTATAAATAATATAACTCCATTTTCTTATTTGCTTGACTTTTTTTTAAAAAGAATGGTAAAAGTGATATTTTCGTCTGTTCTTCTGGAAGAAAAACAGGAATTAAAAAATAATCTTAAAGCACAAATAGTCTCTCTGAGTTTGAAAACCTGCCCCAGGGTTTAAAGTCCGCACCTCCACACTTTAGCATCCCAAGAAACCCCAAGACCCAGAGAATGTGATTGGTCCAAGGCCACCCAATGAGTTTCAGGGCCAGTGGGGATTCGAAACCAGATCCCCCTGGATCCAAAACCAAGCACCCTAATGACTGCATCACATCGGCTCTCCACTTTTCATTCCCCCTTTGCTCACCTAGTTCTCGTTGAACCTTCTGGAATCTCATCTTAATGAAATCTCCAAGTAATAAAGAAGTCGAACCACATAAACTTTCCAACTGTATATATGTTGACCGTAAAACTTAAGTGGTCTGTTTGCACTTACCGTACTGAGTACATTCTAGTTTGGGACACATAATAAGAACCAGCAGGTCTTCCCTGGCACCAGCGCATGGCCATGTGCACACGCTTAGCTATACAGGGTAGGTGGGCGGAGTAACAGGGTTGTCTATTCTGGATTTTGACGTCTACATGGCACTGCGTTGGGAGGAGAGATCAAACCAAATCCCCCCCTGCACCGAAGCTATGCTAGGAAAAAAAAAGACCAGAAACACATTCCGAACCTTGGGGGTCCCCAGATGTTCTTCGAAGCCTCCGCCATTAAGCTGTGTTGGCCAGGATTTCTGGGAGTTGTAACCTAAGAACATCTGGCGACCCAAGATAGGGAGCCACTATTCTAGAAGATGACCTTTCTAATAAAAAGTAAACAATATATCTGCATGCAATAAAGAGGCAGATGACTTCTTTGTTGTGGGTGGTTTTAATAATTCACTTCTCTTCTCCAGAAATAAAGATGTCAATCGTGTGTAAGTCTCGGTGTCCTTCAAAATAAAAAATAGATTCTCAGATCTAACATTGTGAAGCTGAGGGTCAAACTAGGCAAAAATTATACCAAGAGTTTGTTTTTCCCCCTTAAGATGGTAAAAGATACCTGTTTGACGTAGCACGTGCTTTTCCGCATCTCTGTCTATTGCATTTAGCGTGCCGTGCATCTGAGATTGATCAGTGGAAAGCAAATACGGATTGATGGGTACACCCGATTCATCAGGCTCATTTCCCTGAAGAAATCCCATAATGGGAGGGAAAACCAACTAATAGTATACAAAACACGTTCCCCTTAACGTCCAGTTCGACCTGGGACGCACATGGATTCTTGAATGTCAAACTGCCCAAATTATTCTATAGCAGTGTTTCCCAAACTTGGGTCCCCAGGAGTTCAATTAGAACTCCCAGAAATCTTGGCCAGGACAGCTATCGGCAAAGGCTTCTGGGAGTTTTAGTCCAAGAACATCTGGGGACCCAAAGTTGGGAACCACTCTTCCTCGTGACATAAGAGTATGGCCCATGGTTCTGCACCTAATGCAGTTTGAAAAGTTACTTCTCTGCATTGGATCGCCTAACCAGAGGTTGCGATGGTTGGAGAAAGCCTGCAAGACATAACCCAAAACCTAACTAATTATCCCAGTTATGCTCAGAGGCTATGGGCCGAACCAACACACAGTAACAACAGTGATTCAGAGCAAGTGGATAAGAAGTCCAAACAACTCCTTAGTCTAATTGCTATTTTGAGTTCTGTGGTCATGCTCCTGCAACTACAGAATCAACAACCGCATAGGTTCCCAACGCTTGATCCCAAAGACACAGTGAGTCAGCTTTTACTCATGAGCTTCAAAGCCTTGTGCTTTCAAGGACAGCTCTGTAGAGGTTTCAGTCAGTGAGTTGTTGACTCCTTCAGTCTATTTATTGGCTCTTTTCTTTAAAGAGAAAGCAATGCAATTCTTCTGATTTCTCCAAAATATTTCCGGGTCCTTGCTCCTTTGTTCTGCTGACTGCTTCCTAAAGATGCATAGGGTGAAATCTCAGTGCCTTTTACTCCGCCCGCCGGATATGTTCTTTACATACCAAGTTCTCATTTTTTAAAAAAAGATGAGCCAAACCCAATTTCTGGTGGTAGAAACCTAATCTGGAGCCATTCTGATTCTGGATTGGGATCGTTTCTGGGTTACTGCCAACACAAGAGTTCCCTATAACTTCCCTGTCTTCTTCTAGACCCATGATCCCCAACTTTGGGTCCCTGCATGCTCTTGTGGTGCTGGAGGAGGCTCTTGAGAGTCCCCTGGACTGCAAAGAGACCAAACCTATCCATTCTGAAGGAAATCAACCTTGAGTGCTCACTGAAAGGACAGGTCCTGAAGCTGAGGCTCCAGTACTTTGGCCATCTCATGAGAAGAGAAGACTCCCTGGAAAAGACCTTGATGTTGGGAAAGTGCGAAGACAAGAGGAGAAGGGGACGACAGAGGACGAGATGGTTGGACAGAGTCATCGAAGCCACCAACATGAATTTGACCCAACTCCAGGAGGCAGTGGAAGACAGGAGGGCCTGGCATGCTCTGGTCCGTGGGGTCACGAAGAGTCGGACACCACTTAATGACTAAACAACAACAAAATGTTGTGGACACCATCAACAAAATGTTGGACACCATCAACAGAGCTAGTGGCAAAGACTTCCAAGAACATCTGGGGACCCAAGGTTGGGAACCACTGCCCTAGACAGATTTTGTAGCTGTCTCCCTATAAGCCAGCCTCTGAAGACCTTCCAAGAACAGTGCTTTAAAAGAAAGAAAGAAAGAAAGCCATGTGATTTCTAAGAATGAGTAAGAGCCAATTCACTATTTCTCTCTGAGTAAATATTTATGCAGGCAGAGCACTTACTGAATGAACCTCTTTCATGCACATGCAGGAGTACAACAGACATGAGGATAATGTTCACCCACACTGAACGGTTGCAGGGTGACGGCCTCACCCATACAAGCATGCTTGCGTCTATTAGTCATATAACAACTCTCTGATGTTTCGCTCTCTTGGGGTAAGCCTAAGACCGCCGTGCTGAGCGGTTCTGGCTCCCTAATTCCCAAAGAAAACACAACAAACACATTTTCCACTCCTGTAAAATCCAGCCCCCCTCGGCAGTTCTTGAATCAAACTTCCAACCTCTGGTTTCTCAGCCAGATTCCTAAACCAACTGAGCTATCCAGCACTTCTTAAGCAGTGGTATAAGGCAGAGGGAAAGCTTCAGTCAAAATAAATGTATAGTCCTGTTGAATTTACGCAGAGAGTCAAGATTAATGTAGAAAAATGGCACCACAGTTTTTTTTTGTTACAGACCATTACTTTTCCAAAAAAATGTAGGACCACCAAGCAGAATGGTGCCTTGAAGTCCTTTCCTTCTCTAGAACAATCACTTGCAGCCCAAAGGCAGAGCTAGAAATGTTACATTTTAAAAGAAACTTGAGTTACTAATTACTTCTGAAAAGCCGGGTGGCTGCTGGTTGTACCCATCCTGTTCTAGGCTCACAAAAGTCACTTGGTGCATCACACGCTATTACCCTCTTGCGACGTCCTTATCAAGAAACTAAAAAAATACAAGGAAATGCTTTCTGGTTCCCCCAGTGACTAGTTCTAATACTGCACCTCAGAAATATTTACAAAAAAACCCACAAAACCGAGCAGTACCTTGGGTCCTTCTAAGTAGAAAGACTGGGTAAATATATTTTAAAGTAATAATAAATAAATACTTTCCTTTTGACCTAAAGTCCATAAGAAAAAGGCATGAATCTTGGGGGGGAAAAAAGTCTCTTCAAATGAATCTAAAAATATATTTAAATGACTTCAAAAAGCAACTTTTTAAAAGCAATCAGGTATCATTGTTATATCTAAGGACTGTAGGCGTTACCTAAAAAGTTAACTTAATAACTACTAGTGACATTACTCATTAACCAAAAGGAACTAGTTATAAATTACCATGCGGAGTCCTTCGACCCATGGGTAGACATTAGATTTTAAATGACCAGGTTATTTCCACCTATTTCCCAGTGTGTTCTGGAAGAAGGGCAAGTTTGTCCAATGTAGAAATGTAATCAGTTCACATTCACTACTTACCCAGACAAGTCCTGCTGTCCGTGTGGAGGCGAAATCCTGGCTTGCACTCACAATAATAGGAGCCCAGAGTGTTCACACATCTGTGCTGGCAACCCCCATTGTGAACCAGGCATTCGTCAACATCTGGAAGGAAAGGAAGATGGAAAGCATTAGAGCAACAGGCATGAGAGATGCTCAAAGCAGCTTTTTTTGGCGGGCTGTTTCTTCCTCACAAATATGCCTGGAGAGGGGTGGCGGTAATCAATTCCAGTCATCACATCAAGCGAGGTCAGAGGGAGATGTCTACTGAATCAACGGTAGCCTGCGTCCATCACTAATTTGTCCAATTTCTTTAAAAAATGGAGCAGAGCGATGCAGTTGCGCTGTCTGGGTTTTACTCCATCACTGTTGGCCTTTTACTTTTCAGTCAATCCTCAACATCATCATCATCTGAGGACTGCAAAGCTGGAAGGGGCCCGACAGATCCTCAAGTCCAGCCACTGTCAAGTGGGAGGATTGGAACTCCCAACCTTTGGCTCTGCAGAGTCCTAAACCACCAAACTATCCCACAGTTCTTGTTTTTAAAAAAAGCTGGGATAATTCTTCAGACCTTCGAGAACAGCTGGCAGAAGAAAGATCGAGCAAGTATATCCGAGGGATTAAAACAATGTTGCATAGCGTTGCTTGTACATTAGGGATGCTGGAGGAATACCTCTTTTTTTAATCCTAATTTTTCTGTTCATTTTTTAAAAAGGGCTTAATCTTCTGACAGACTGCCAAGAATCTGTATCCAAAATATCTATGTGTCATTTGCAGAAGACCACCACCTAATGAATGTTGGAGGGTGTGGGTTTTTTTGTGTGTTTGTGTGTGTGTTTTGTTTTTGTTTTTTTGCAACCCTTCATGCTGTCTATAATTTGAGTGATTTGGAAGGGCTTTTCTGGGTTGCGGTGATTGTCTATCTATCCAGCACTAACCAATAATTCATTCCAGCCTTTGAATTCAAAGAGAGTCCCATCTCTCTACTGAGCGTTGCCTTCCCTCACTTTCATCTGTCCGCGGCAGATGTTTGTTTGCTGTTGATCTTTTCAGTTGGTTGCGAAGTATACGTGCAGTAAAGAAAGCGGGACACACAAGTCTGTAATTTCAACCAACTGGAAGTAAAGAAACGTGTTTAATTCATTCTCCCAAAAATGTCTCAGAGTGAGTTATTGAAACTTTTAAGTGCCAGTTAACGAAAAAGGGGTGGAAACGGGGGAAACTTGGAGCAATTCTCCTCTGCTGATCTCCATACTTCTACTGCGTAGCAAAAAAAGGAATGTTACCAGAAATTCAAAACTCTGGAAAACGACATGGCAGTTCTCTAAACTGGATGTTCACCCAAGCTGGCTAACAGTGGAACACTCCCGATAGTCTATTTCTTTCTTTCTATTCTGTCCCCTAAATGTACATCCAAGCCACAGTCGGGCAAGTTTTACTGGCACCCTAAACCCATTAGTCATGTCAAAAATCCGCCTTTCCTAACCACCGGGCTAGAGCCTGTAATATAATCTGCACTCAAAAATAATAATAATAATAAAAATCTGCTTCCCCTGTTCAGTTTTCATGCACTTTTGTATGCTTTTTTAAAGATTATTTTTAAGTTGCTTTTTTAAAAAAACTTCCTCACAAACCTCCTGTGTCAATCAGGCTTTTCTGCCCGGGGAGATGTGGTGGCCGGAGACCTCGCCGAATATTCACAAAGAGAAGTTGAGCCAAAAATTGGTGTCCACAAGAAAAGCGGCCAACCTCTCCCCCTGCAGGAGTCGCCAAGGCTAACCTACATGCAAGGACAGCCATATGCGTCCCAAAGTAGCTCTTATAGCTGGGTTTGGTCCCTGATCTGTTGTTCTGCAACAACCAGGAGCCAGCGTGCGGTTCCACGTAAGCTCACGGCGTCCAGAAAAACCCAGAAATGCAGATTGGCATTGATTGGGGAAACAATTCCCTGGCTTCGGGGACCTCTGAAAAGTTCCCCAAGCGCCTTCCTGGTAAAAGTCAAGAAAGACATTAGAATTTAATCTGATTACATGCCTTAGAAAGGGAAAGAATGCAACACGTACATTCTTTTTTTCTACTTAGGACTGGGAGTCTGGGGGCAATAAAAACTTTAGCCAACGCAAGGTTGTCCTTTGTTCACCTTGGCTCTGACCTGATGTAGCAGGCGCCAAGGAGATGGTTTATGAAATCGCTGCTCGTTTTTGAAAGCAATAACGCTGGGGAATGCGGAGCGTGGCAGGGAAAGAGGACGACCAAACGAGCGATGGATTGATTCAATAAAGGAAGCCACAGTTCTGAGTTTGTATGAACCGAGTGAAGTACGTATTCAGCACGGGACTTCTAGAGGTCACGAATACTCGGGGTTGCTCTAGGTCGGAAGCAACCTGGTGACAGAGATTTTTTTTAAAAAAAAAGACACCCCAAATTTCAGGGAGCTGAATTCGAACTCTGCCACTTCTGCCTGTAAACACACCAAAGGTGGTCTTTGGAGCTAGAAATGAGGCAAGCAAAGGGAAGACCATCGATTTTGCACCATTTGTACACTATGAAGCTTTTGAAGGCTTTGTAAAAACATAGAATGAACATCCAGAACTACTGATAGGCCCCGATTTGGCAACTTCTTGGAAAGTTGAAAGGATGTGATGGAGAACAGGAACAGTGCCAAAGTACAGTTATGGGACGGGTGAGTTACTTCAAGTTAATCCAACATCTCTAAGAAAGTATGGTCTCTAACCTGTTGAAACAGTTACACACACAATGGTGTGATTCACAGAGATCCAGAAAGAAAGAAAGAGGGTTGATTATAGAATCATAGAATAGTTGAGTTGGAAGGGGGCCTCTAAGGCCATCCAGTCCAACCCCCTGCTCAAGGCAGGAATCCTAATCAAAGCAAATCTGACAGAGGGTTGTCCAATTTTCTCTTGAAGACCTCCAGCCTTGGAGCGCTCATCATCTCCTGAGGTCATTGGGTTCCATTGTTGTACTGCTCTAACAGTTGAGAAGTTGATATTCAGCCAAAATCTGCCTTCCTATAGCTGGAGCCCATTATGACGTGTCGGGAACTCTGGGATGATCGAGAACAGATCCTGCCCCCACCTCTGCATGTATACCTGCATGATGGATGTCCTTCTCTCACCTGGGATGGTGAGCAAAGCACACAAAGTCTTCACACGGGGTGGGGAAAAAAAAACTTTGCTTGTGAATGAAAGGAATCGGAATGCGCTGAAGCAAGCATGATGTGCCAGGTGATCATTGAAGCGATTTCCCAGTTCAAAAGGATGTGGGTGGAACGCCCCCTCCCCCGAAGCCAAATGAGTTGTGTTGATTGACTCTTTGGACTGAGCCTTTAAACTCAGTGTGAATTCTTTGGCTGAAGCATAATCAGCTACAAAGGGCATCAGAGGAAGGAGGGAGCTTGGCACTGGATAGGGTGCCGACAGGCTGCACCACTCAACCCAAATGTTCCCCCAGTTCTGCTCATTTGTCCCATGTTTGCAATGGTGGGCTGCTCTTCAGAGCTCCACCAGTGTAGCTTACGAAAACACCTGCACCACTCCTCACTGGAAGTATGATTTTCAGGTGTATACACCCACCTGCCCTACTGCACTCCCCCACAGAAAAAGCACACCCCTAGAGGCTCTTCTTGGATACTGACTGTGGTGTAGTGGATAGAGCGATGGGCGAAGACTCAGGAGGCCTGGGTTCGAATCTCCACTCTGCCGTGGAAGCTCCCTGGAGGAGTGGAACCGGTAGATCCACTCCTTAAGTATCTCAATTACCTTGAATTCCACTCCGCCGTGGAAGCTCCCTGGAGGAGTGGAAGTGGTAGATCCACTCCTTAAGTATCTCAGTTACCTTGAAATCCCTATTAGGGTCGCTAAAAGTCCATGCCGATTTGATGGCGGTTCTGCCTCATGTCTGCAGATGATGGATGCAGGAGGAAGTACGGAGCTGTGAAAATAGGTGAGAACCGCATGCAGGCTGTACATTCATCTACGTGAGATGAAGTAGATGCTAAAGGTCCATGCCGATTTGATGGCACATAGCGACAAGAACAGAGGCGGTTCTGCCTAATGTCGGCAGATGATGGGTACAGGAGGAAGTACGGAGCTGTGAAAATAGATGAGAACCACATGCAGGTTGTACATTCATCTACGTGAGATGAAGTAGAAAAAACTAGAGACAGGATCTTGGGACCTATGAAATGCATTATATACCACTGAGCCATGGTGTGCTCTTAAGTCAAAGAAATACCAAGAGCTGCCTTATCATCATCATCATCATCTTAGAACTGCACAGCTAGAAGGGACCCTGTGGATCACCGCATCCAGCCTCTGTCAAGGAAGGCCCCGTGGGGGGAATCGAACTCCCAACCTCTGGCTCCAAAGCCAGTTCTACCACATCAGACCATTCGTCTCCCTTAGAGATGGGCAGAAAGTGGAAAACCGGTGGTTTGTGATGGTCCGTGGTTCATGGGTAGCCCCAAACCACAAACTAGCGCACGCGCACGCACACGCGCACGCACACGCACACGCACACGCACACACACACACACACACACACACAGAAAAACGAACCAATTCTCAGCTCAGTTTATTGGGTTGGCAGTGATGGGGAACTGCCGAGGGGGGGGAAGTTTGGTGCCTCGTTTCATTTCGGCAAAACGTGATCCCCAAACCAAACCGCAAGCCGGCCCACTTTGTGCCCATCCCTAGTCTCTCTTATCTTCAGTGATAAGACACCAGATCTCCACGGCTTCTGATCAGCGTCTCGGCCAAGCGAGAACGGCGGAACCCTTCTGTATACAAAGGAGAGGGGTCTCCCAGCGCCCTTCATCTCTCCCCTCTGTCTTCTTCCCAGGTAACTGTTCTCCCCTCACCTCAATCATCATCTGAACACACACACGCAGGGGTTATCGCCTATTCTTGAATTTTGGATTTTGTAATGGCCACACGGCTCCCCCCCCATTCATGTCAATGGGCGCACGGAGGCCCTGACACCATCGCCCGTCCGCGCAGCGTTGTGTTATCGGGGCTGCCTCACCATCAAGTGTATGTGGGTCAAAAGCAGTGCAAGAGAAGTTGCTTTCTAATTCCAATTAATAT